CCCAGCTGAATTGCCTGATCGGCAGAGGCTTTTTTTCTTTTAAAAGCCTTTGACGATCAGACAACTCAGCTGGCATCATCAGAGGCTTTTAAAAGTCTTTGAGGATCCCAGCTGAGCCGCGCGATCATCAGAGGCTTTTTTTTTAAATTTTAAAAGCACTTTTTCTGCCAAAGAGATTGTAGAAAAAATGCTTTTAAAAGTAAAAAAAGCCTCTGATGATTGTGCAGCTCAGCTGGGTATGGGGGGGGGCAGGGATTTTTGCTACTGGTTCTCCGAACCACCTGCCTCCATCGCTACCGGATCGGGTGATCCGGTCCAAATCGGGATCATTTCACCCCTGCTGTAGGCCTAAAAACAACAAGGGCCAGGACTTTATTCTTGCTGTCTTAAACTGAGAATGTATCAGGTCCAGAAACTAAGAAAGACACATGATGGTTCTTCCAAACAGATTTCTTTATCTATTTATCTTGCCAAATTTCAGAGAAAGCCCTGAATTGCCCTTGAGTTGTTAGCTTGGCCCACAATATAAGATTAGCCTGCACAAAAGTGACAAAATTCAGGTCTTTGGATGTTCCAATTATAGTCTGGAGAAATGCAATCCCAGGCCACAGTTGGTGTACATATGCCTTAACTCAAGCATATAAAGAGAATTTTGTTCATGAGATGGGATTATCCTGTAATCCCTACTAGACTGTCTAGTAGTAACTACTCTGAAACCACTAGTCTGCAAACAGACCTTCTGTGGGATTTTTTCCCCTTGACTTTGAGTCACTGTTAACTTCTGCATCTGCTTGGATAGTTCCTGAAGTTTTCATGGCAAGGCTTTTGGAAGTGGTTTGCCCTTGCCCTCCTTCCCAGGTCTGAGAAAAAGTGATGGCCCATGGTCACCCACCTGACTTTGTGCCTCAAGCAGGCCTAGAATTCAAAGTCTCCCAGTTTCTAAAGTGATGCCTTTAACTATTACAATCCTGGTTTTCTGGTTAGATTATTGTAATTAAAAAGTATATAGTTAAAGCAAAGCACATGTCTGAAGCATCATCTGAGTGATAGAGATCAGAGCAGTGGTGGGTTGCTCCTGGTTCGCACCGGTTCGCAAGAACCGGTAATAAAAAATTTTAATAGTTCGGAGAACCGGTAATAAGATTGGTTGGCCACGCCCCCGAACTGGTTCCCGGCCCGGTCGCCGGTCGCTTACCCCACCCACCGTCATTGCCCGTATGCAGCCCCAGGACTCAGCCTTTTGCCAGCCAGGAGCGCTGCCGCCAGTCGCTCCTGTGCACCCAGTTGCCTGCCTGCCTCGTCACCGCCACGATGAGGAAAGGCCCCGAAGTTCCGCTGCCTGGGATCGATGTGGGCTGCTGCAGGGAGAAGCCAGGTATGGCTGGCTGGACGCTGCCTGGAGCTAAGCTCGAGGATGGCAGGAGGAGGAACGTTGCCTCTTAGCCGGCTCCACCGAGGGATAAGCCATCCACCCCAGACACATGGGAGCAAAGCAGAAGGCGAAACTTGCCGCAGAGGCCGCCATCCCCGCGATGGACCCATGGCGCCAAACACAAGTAGCCTGGGCGCGCAGGGCCCAGCATCCCCACGAACTTCCTAGGGCCCTGGGTCTACCTGCGAGGGCCGTTGTGCGGAACCCATGGGGCAAGGACGGCGAGTTTTCCATGGGGGCTTCCCGGGCTCCGACTGGATCGGAGAGCCAGCAGAGGGCACGAGATGCAAGCCACATTTCCTCCGTGGGGCCAGGCCAAGTTTGAAAAAGTTCCCCGCCGGCGCCGGATGGGCTCCGGTGGCTGCAGCGGCGGTGATGGCGTCTGGGCAGATCCAACAGGTGAGAGTGCAGGAGGCGCCATGCAGGTGCACCTTTGCAAAGCGGCCTCATGGCCGGCGCCTCCTTTCCCCACCCAGGGCTGCTGTGCCTACACCGCCAGGGAACCAGCGAAGGGAGTGGGGAGGGTGGGCACTGGGGGGGGGGGGTCCTATCCAACTGGGCTTTTGCAAAACCAGGCGCAAGTTGGGGATTCTGATGCTCCACTCGCATTTTGTGTGGCTCGCGGGGAGAGGGGGGTGGGCAGGAATCCGAGCCTGTGGATTGGCTTGTTTGGGGTGGGGGGCCAGGATCTCTGATGACTGGGACTTCCAGGAGATGCCCTTGGCTTTGCAGCAGAGGGGTCTTTAAACCTGCCTTATCTGCATTCCTTTTCTTTGCAAAGATCACCCCCCCAAAAAAAGGACGGGTTGCCCAAACCTCCGAGGAGGTTGTAGGGAAAAAAAAATCCCTTTAAATGCTTCTGGCGATCCCAGCAGATTTGCCTGATTGTCAGAAGCTTCTAAAAGCATGTTTTCCTGCAACTTCCTCAGCCGAGGAGGTTGTAGGAAAAATCCCTTTGAAAGCTTCTGGCAATCCCAGCAGATTTGCCTGATCGGCAGAAGCTTCTAAAAGCATTGTTTTCTGCAACCTCTTAAGGTTGTAGAAAAAATGCTCTTAAAAGTAAAAGTAAAAAAAAAAAAAAAAGTTGGCCACGCCCACCGAGTCACATTACCCCAAGCCATCAGAAATCATCCCATGAAGATGCCCAGTTGAATCCCCAAAGACGCTGGGTAACACCCTCAGTGTGTTGGAGAATAGGGTTTGCTGGCTATTTATAGAGAGTAGCTTGCCCTGCCAGTCTTGGTGAGGATGTCACTTCCTCCTTAAAGGTTCCTTCATTAAGGTATTGCTTCTTCTTGGATAGTTTATCTGATAATTTATCTTATAAATATCCGCAAACTCACTTTCCCTCACTCTGTTGAAGTTACCTAACTTGGTAATAAAATCTGCAAGAAAACAACCAAATTCAGAGAGTACAAGAAATCCAACTTGTTCAATGACTGCATCAGTAAAATAGATTTCTAGTGTCATCAATTATTCTACTGAAATGATGAAAATTGTATTGGGATGAGTGGAAAATTAGTAATTAATATTTCATTTCATTTTATTTTTTTGGTGGAAGACTGGTGACCTCCATTGAGTTTTAGTCCTCAAAATACATTAATCAAATTCAGAACTCTCTAATCCCAAATGTCTTTTGCCCAACCTTTTACTGCTGGAGTTTTTCTAGGAAAAAAAAATAAAGTAGATCCTACAAATTGGCGAAATATATTAAGTAGGTTAGATTATGACATTACTATTTCACTAGCAATATAGCAAATCAATAAATGTATTTATAAAGAGAAACATGTCTTTGAAAATAAGTTTTTTTAAAAAGCTGAATAACAGCCAATTTTTTTTGGGGGGGGGGAGAGAGATCAGATAAGGGATTACAGCTCTACTATCTGTTTTCAAAAAGCACAAGTGCCTGAAATAAACAAGTCCTCTGCAGAAGAAGCCTTCTTATCACCCCTAAACAACTTTCTGTTTGTAGTTCCTCCTTTCCGCCTTCAGCTCCACACCTAACACAGGCTGCACATTCACCACTGGCCACAGGTCTGGTCAAAAGGCAAAGGATGCGAAGAGAAACCATTTGCAAATTGATTCAGAACTGAAAGGAATCATATCTGTAGGTTTTCCTATTTTCCACTCTCTATGCTACCCATGCCATCAGAAATCATTCCATGAAGATGCCCAGTTGAATCCCCAAAGAAAGATCTTTTCCCCTACAGCATTAAGAAGAGTCAGGGGACATAATCTGTATCATGTCTTTATCCCCCAGTCTTTGGCTAGACATATGTTTTTTTCCTCTGCAAATCCAGAGACTTCCTTTAAAACTTATAGAGATGGTTTGATGATTTGAAAGAGGGTACTACATCATACTTGGAATATTGTATCCATTTTTGGTTGCCACAATATAAAAAAGATGTTGAGACTCTAGCAAGGGTGCAGAGAAGAGCAACAAAGATGATTAAGGAGCTGGAGGCGAAAAGATATGAAAGACGGTTGCAGGAATTGGGTATGTCTAGTTTAATGAAAAGGACCAGGGGTGACATGATAGCAGCATTCCAATATCTAAGGGGCAGCCACAAAGAAGAGGGAGTCAAGTTATTCTCTGAAGGCACCTGAAGGCAGGACAAGAAGCAATGGATGGAAACTAATCAAGGAGAAAAGCAACCTAGAAATAAGGAGAAATTTCCTGACAGTTAAAACAATTAGTCTCAAATGGCTTGTGCAGGGGGTTAGATTGGAGGACCTCCAGTATCCCTTCCAACTCTATTGTTCTATTCTGTTATTCTTTCTATGATCCCATCAAGTCCAAAGAAAGAAGTCTGGAACAAATAGAATCTTCTGCCACAGGCAGGGGGTTGGTTTAGAAGACCTCCAAGGACCCTCCCAATCCTATTATTCTATGTTCTATTCCCACAGCCACTGTTAAGGGGCGCAAGCTCCAGCAGCCAACTTCCTACAATATCAGGCCAAATCCAAATACATCACAATTGTGTTTTAGTGCAATGGGGGGGGGGGTAATGAATGTATGTCACATAAACAATTAAAGGTTCTATTTCTGTGAATTCCTGGACCTGGGAAGTTCTTCCTGATATTAACATAATCTTTGTGGCAGATTGTTTATTCTGCCTTCTGTGAGGTGTTGTTTACCCCTGTTTTATCCATTAGATTTTTAACAATCCTTTTCCTCTCTCTTTTGCCTTCGGGGAATTCTGTCTCTGAAGTAGGAGCAACCTGCACTGCACACAGAATAGCAAAAGGAATGCCTTTGGCACGGGATTGGAGATACACAGACCAGGGACAGATGGCTCCAAGAAGAATGATTGGGGAAAGTACGCAATTTTCAAGCTTTGGGGTGGACTAGAAGTATGCTGGGCCTGGAGTTTGACTTGTAGTTGCCATTGGGTTACAATGATTTTGACATAACCTTACTCTAAATGTAAGAAGATAGTACTCTTATCATGCACAGGAGAAATCCCTAGGGGGAGAGGGGGCTCCAATCTGCTTGCAGTTGCAGCAATTTGTTGTTGTTGCTTTGCCGCTACCTCTCTCAACCCAGAGCCCGCCCTCTTATCTGCAGCCTCCAGCTGTGGAGCAAAGACCCAGGCATCAGCTTCTGCAGTCAGTTACCAACTGGCAGAGCAGGTGAAAAGTCTTTTCTGGAAGAACGGCTGCCCTTACCCCCATCAAAGCATGGAGCAGGCCTGGAGATCCATTGCTGCCTTTTTGATCCTGGTGTTTTGGGCTTCTGGCTCACTTCAGGAGGGCCCTAGGAATCTTGGTGCATACTTCAACAGCAAAGGTACCCTTCTTGAGCAGGCTGGGCTAAGTGGGGCCAGTAAGGGCAAGGCAGAGGGAGGGAGGCAGGTGAGTGTCATCACAGGGTGTGAGGGTGGTGGCGGCAGAAGGAATGGAGAGTCAGAGGCACCATGTTGTCAAGAGGTGGCATCTGAGGCCAGCCTACCAGGGGTCTAACATGGTGTTTGTTTTTAGCACCTTTGAATTCATGCAGTCCATATTGGGCTAGAGCAGTGTTTCTCAACCTTGGCAACTTTAAGAGATGTAGACTTCAACTCTCAGAACTCCCAGCCAGCCATGCTGGGGCTTGACAAACATTGCTACTGAGAAGATTTTTTTTTTTTTAAGAGTCACCCTATGCAAAATTGATTGAATAAAATCACATATAACTTGCCTTATCTGAAGTATGTCCGAAGTCTCTTTCTCTGTCATTTTATTTCTCTTACTATACTACTATTGACAAAGTAAGCCTGTACATTTTTGCCAGACAGAGGAGGAGAAGGAGGAGGAGGAAGAGAGCCATGTTAGTTTATGTAGCAAAAATCACGAGGGGTCAAGAGAGGAAAAGCCACTCTATGCATGGAATGACGTCAGCTGGAACTCATGAAAGTATGTGCCTTTTAATAACATATGCGAGTCAGAAAAGCTGCTACCAGACTTCCAAAAAGTTGGCAGTCTGTAAAATGGTTTCCTGCAACAAGGTTGCAGGGAACCATTTTGGTCTCTTTTCAGTCTGAGAGCAGTTTCTTGTAAGGCCACATGGATCTGAAAAATCCCTCCCTGTGCAGGTTAAATCCCACTGCAGTTAACACGGAGGAAGGGAAAACAGCCAAAGTGGCCCAAGAGAGGAAACTTCTGAGAGATACTTCTGTTAAGGAGCAGAGATAAACAGTGCTCTGTGGCATCAAACGGATGATCCCTGGGGACCGACTGGCACAACCCAAGCCTTCCATGCTTTGATATTCCAAAGCTGGCAACTTTGCGGCAGCCTTTCAGATTTAACTTAGCACTTTTCTGGCAGTGCTAAAAGCCAGGCTGGCTACAGGCTTTAAGAGATGTTTTCTCGGGAGAACATCAAGTCAGAAAAGGCTGATGCTCAGTTATAGCCATTTAAGCAAGAGTGGCGGGAGAGAGGGATTACAAAGAGACATTACGCAAAGTGACAGAGATCCTTAGTAGCATCTACAATATTTTTTGGCATGTGTTGCATACATCAGCAAAAGCAGATATAAGAGCCCAAGCATATTATCACCATATACTTCCCACTTCAAGATGGTTTCTCCCTGCTATGGTAATCTTAAAATTCTGAAATCCAAAAATATTCATTTATATAAAGATAATAGAAAAAGTGCTGTCTAATTTTTATTTCATTTTACCTATATGGTCATGGATTGACAGTTAGACATATGGAATTTATAACATGGAGCAAATGCTTACTTTAAAAAAGATTTCACCCTGACCATAGAAGAACATGACTTGTTACATAAATATCCAGAACTCATTATGATTGAATGTAATCATAGGTTATGAAGCACATGTGATTTGTCTCACTGTATGCATTTGTGTATGTAAGGATCTTTCACAATTTAATTTCCTGATGACAACATCCAGCGAGGACTTGTAATAAAAAATAAATCCTGACAAGATCTAGCTCTGCTAATAAAGCAAGTCTTTGTGTTACTTTAAACTCTGCTTGAGTTTACATTGTAGGCTGCAAAGTATCATGGGTTGAATAATTCAGAGTACACTCTCTTGTTTAAACCAAAGATTCCACTGAAGATAGCCTCAAATCATATGATCCTAATCTAACAGTAGGAAATGAAGGTACTTTTTCAACTGGTGAGCATGTGCTACTTCAGCATCTTCTTTTCAAGTACGTTGTGCATTGCAATAGGGCACAGGAATTGCCCCATAGAGACCTTTGAAAAATTGCCTCAAAGCATGCAGATTCCTTGCCAAGGAATTAAGAACTTGTTTCTAATCAAAGGGATATTCTCACTGTATCCTGTTCTGTCTTGTCCTCTCTCTAGCAAATACTTTTCTAAATACCGTTATCTATGAGACTCTTCACAAGTCTTCTCTCTTACATCTGTTTTCTCTAGAATGGACTTATTGTGCCTAAATTCCCACCTTTTAATCCTCCACTCCCACTTCAAGTATACTCTCTAAGAGTGCTTGACCTTTTTCTTGGGGATGTTTTCATCAGTGTGCATGTGCGTGCATGTGTGTGTTTGATTTGTTTGATTCTCCAGGCTGAATTCAAAGACAATAAGCTACCCAAAAGAAGCCTTTTGCCCAAATCCGATTCATTTAAAAAGAACTAAAGTGCCTAGCTTCTAGAGAAATCCATGTAGAAACTTGGGGCACAAATACTGTCACATACTCTGTTGCATCTCTGGAGACCTGTTGTTTCCTCCCATCTCCCACCAATAGCCCCATGCTATAACTGGTTAAGAAATTATAGTCAAATCTTGCTAACAAGTTCAGCAGTCCTAGAAGAAAATACTCACCTGGACTTATTTAATTTCTAGCATGTATATTAGCCTTACTTACGCTTATGCAGGTTATTTCATAGAATTGTATACAGGAAAGCATGAGAAATGTAAAACAAAAGCAAAAGAAATCCAAATGCTATGTGCAGATTCCTTACTATTTGTATTCATTTATTTACTGTATTTCTATGTTTAACTGAACCTTTTGGTTGATGTGAATTTACCTATGGCAGGAACAGAAAGCAGGGACAGAGTCCCTTATCTCAGGAAACACATGTCAGATGGAGATGGTTGTTATAGAAGTGTATGTGTGTGTGTGTAGGCATATGTACTCATAAGGAAGCAGAGTCCTACAATGCATACAGTATTGTGGATCATGTGATTCTGGCAAACAATATATTGTTTTTATGATCCACTGCCACCAGCTAGAATCCCAAACACATTGCTATATATCCCTGAGATATACATATTGCTGAAGAAATTGAAAGAAAGGAAAATTGCAGCCAAGACTCTACCCTATAATTTCTGTTTGGGCAGAAAAGCTTTTATTTTCTTTAGTCTTAGCCCAACTAGGAACTTATTTCAGCCAGAAAGAGAAGAAATTTAAGTAGATCAAAGTTTGCTATGACACCCCCTGCAAGCTGCAAGAGACTTTTGACTGGGATTTTGAACCAAACTCATCTGCAGCCTATAACTTTAAAAAGGGACTGCACTACCGGGTTACTGTAAAGTGATTTCTCAATCCAGCCTTATAATGTTTTACACTGGATGCTATTGTATGCTGTATGTTATTGTACTGTATGCTCACAGTTCAACCTACATTTGGAAAGGAAGACAATAAACAGTATTTGCAGAGCTACTATAAACTAGTTTTCAACTTCAGTCCAACCCACAGAAGGCTACCACCAGGAATCTATGAAGTACAATACTGCAGGGCTCTCAAGGTTGAGCTGCAGAGATCAGGCGGCCACTAGAAAGCCTGGGAGAGAGACAAAAACCTGTTAGAGATTTCTCTCTCTGTTAACCCCTAATACTTTAGCTGTTTGGGGTTTTTCAGCCTATATCCAGTAGCACTAGCCTTAATGCTATTAAGCTGCTTTCTCCCAAGCATATAGGGAGTGCATTTCTCTGGAATCATATATTAGCAGAATTGCAGTTCATAGTAAATAAGTGTTGGATTAGAAACAGCAGGAAGTATCCCCCTCCCTTTTATGTCTTTCTGAATGTGTTTGTGGGACACAGTCTTGTACACTGAATTTCTTTAGGGTTTTTTTTTTGAACAGTTCACACTTCGGTCCCTAGAGCATTTTAAAATAACTTCTCATGATGAATGTGGATGTGACCTAACAAGCCATAATGTGATATTTTCTTCATTTTTTACAAATCTTTGTAACTTACCAGGGGTGGGTTTCAAAACCTGTCGCTACCAGTTCGGTCATAGGCGTGCACGCCCACAACCGAACCAACAGCAACCCACCACTGTAACTTACGTAGTTTCTTACATTTCCAGTCATTCCATTTCAAATAACCAACTTATTTCTTCTGACTTAAATCAATTAATGCTACCAGTTTTGAGCTGTTTGTTTGTTTGTGTTTTGTTTTGTTTTTGCCTGAGGCTTTACTTAATTGGGGGAACATATCAGATTGGCATAATTAGCAAACACCCCACAGCATTCTTTTGTGTGACCTTCAGAAGATACAATTTTGCTGCCTAGTGATTAGATAGGGATGGTTGTGTTCAGAGGCGGGTTTCAGCAGGTTCTGACTAGTTCTGGAGAACCGGTAGCAGAAATTTTGAGTAGTTTGGAGTAAAAATTCTGACTGGTCTATCTATCTATCTGGCCTCTATCTATTCTCTGCCTCCCAAGTCCCAGCTGATCGGGAGGAAATGGGGATTTTGTAGTATCCTTTCCCCAGAGTGGGGTGGGAATGGAGATTTTACAGTATCCTTCCCCTGCCAGACCCACCAAGCCACACCCACCAAGCCATGCCATGCCCACCAAGCCACACCCACAGAACCGGTAGTAAAAATATTTGAAACCCACCACTGGTTGTGTTGTGATCCCTGCTGTCCCATATCAGTCAGTAACACTAAACTTGTGTCTCTCTGCTTTGCATCCAGTTGCACGCCTGATGACAGAAGAGCTCTTGAACCCCAAGTGCTTCACCCAGCAGCTAGAAGATCTGGCCTGTTTCTGGGAAATATCAGATCTTCTGAAGGAACCAAAAAACCAGAGCATGTACAGTTTTTGCTACAAGTTTGAGTAAGTGGTTTATACATTGTAGTAAAGTCAGCCTGTCTCAGGCCATGGTCTCATTCCAAATGTTTTTCTTAAGAATGTCAAGTGCTATTTTGTTGTCTTAAATCCACTTAGCCCTGACCAAGCCACTTCTTGCCCCATGTGACTCTGATCCCTTCCTGTGATCTGTACTTCCTGTCACATCAGACCTATTTTCATCTTAATATAGGGAACAGACTAGTATGTCAGCTAAGTCTCAGCTAAGTCAGCTAAGTCTCAGTTTGATGAATCCTTTGCTAGAGATTCAGGAGAAAAGCCCCAACTAGGAGTTGTAAAATGAGGAAGAGTTCACATGTGAATTTGAAACAACCAACTAGGTCCTCATTAAAATACTTGTTGGTGTCAGTCCCATGCTTTAACTAATACTGACAGGGAGCTTTTAAAAAGTCAAATAGCAAAAATTATGTAGTAGCAGTCAACTTTCCAACCTCAAAACTGGAAATCTATCCTCTTGCTTTGACTCTGTGTCTTCTGCTGGGAACAATGGAAGAGTGGGGAAACCCCTTCATAATAGTTTCCTCCCAAGATTAATCCTATTTTGCCCCTTGATTTCACCCAGGGAAGACAACTTCCTGAAGTCCTGTAATTTGACTGTGGAGAACACATCCAGGAATACAACACTCTATACCTGCTTCTTTCAAAGGCAGGATATCTCAGCTTTCAGCCCCCTGGAGATCAAAGTCTTTGAAGGGCTGTCCTCTAACAACACCCTTTACACCAGAACAATATATGTGGAAAGACTTGGTAAGTCCTCTGCAAATGGCTGTGTGTCTTTTTGTTTGTCTGTCTGTCTATGTGTATGTTTGTGTGTGTTGGAGTCTAATCCCTTTCTAACCCAGAAATAGAAAGAATCCATATTCAGTGCATTCAAAACTTGGTGGCAAGACTAGTGGCATCCTATTCAGGTTTGTCCTCATACAATAGACACATGCTGCAGAATATGGAAAGGGGAAAAAACATTTTTCCCACAAGTGAATGCCAAGCCGAGCTTCCCATTGTTTGCAAACAGGAGCTTCCAGAATTATTTATCTATTAGATGGATCTCCCACATTTTTTCCAGGAGCTCATTTTTTTCCTCAGCTCAGCTATTTCTTCTTTCTTCTCTTGGAATATTTTTGTTACAAGAAAAAGGAATAAATAATAGGAAAGCATGATAGGGTTACAACTGAAAGATGATGATATGACTATTTGGAAACACCTTTAAGTGCTTTATCTTTCAAGGGACTAAATTTTCTTAAATTTTGCTTGTAAGAGAGCCCTTATTACCCTATTGTATAATCAGGCAAATCAAACTTTCCCATCTGTTTGTCTCCTTATCAAGAAAAGGTTCAGTGATTGAATATTCATATATCAGGTAGCTATTAAATGAACCAACACACTCTGGTGGGAAAAACTCAATACAGTAGATTAATTTCCTGTATCACACTAAGATATTGGCTTAGGTTTGGGTTTATTTTGTTATGTTTTGATCACAAGACATCCATGTTCATTCAGCATGACAACGTGACCCATGAAGGTATCCTGAACTTCCCATTGTCCTAAACAGTATATCTGTGTTAGGGGGGTATGCTAGAGGGACATTTCTTGAGGAAATGCATCTAGAAATTGTGGTCTGTCCTAGATGGGAAATAGGAGCTGCAGGGCCACTGCCTGATGTATCTGCTGAACTGGAGAAACGAAGGTTGCTTGCCTGTTCTCACCCTCTTCTTCCTTTGTCCCAAGTTTTCCTGGACCCCCCCTCTAACCTGACAGTGCAGTTTATGGAGTCCTCTGGTCAGCTGAATGTGAGCTGGCAATCACCCCCCATTGCATACATGGAAAACAGTATCCGCTATGAAGTGTCTGTCTCCCCTGAGGGCTACAGACCCCGACGGGTAAGTCTCTGACCTTTTGTTTCTTGACTCTAATAACACCCCCCACCCCGCCGCCGCCACACACTTTCTTTCCTCCTCCTTACTCAGTTTTTATCCTCCTCTCCTCAGGTGGAAAGTACCAGTGGGCAGACATATTACCTCCTGAATCTCAAAGGGGGCACTCACTACACTTTGGCTGTTCGGGCCAAGCCTAATGGAGTCAGCTATGATGGCTATTGGAGTGAGTGGTCACAGGAAGTATCAGTGGCAATACCAAATGGCAAGTGTCCCATTTATTTGTGGTGTTAAATGTTGACTACCCAATGCCACCATTTTCTGGAGAGCTCACACTCAGAATGATAAAACGCATTCTAGACACCATCAACCACAATGAAGCATCTTGGGGTTCTAATAGCTACACACTCTGCTCAATAATTGGGTCCACACTATTATGGCAGAAATAAATTATTTTCTTATCGAGGTCCCTATAAACATAAAAAGTTCCTCCAACTCAGGAGGAAGAAACACAGATCTTCCCCCCACCCACCCACCAAAGCAAGTGATTTGGGGGTGGGAAGAATATCAAAACTATTCAATTCTCTGTGATTCTCTGTAATTCTATTGCGATCAATTACTTTCTGCTACTGTACTGCTATTTCAGGCACAAAGTAACTGAAATAGTAACTCTGTCTCGGTTGCATTTTGATTTCAGGAAGAGGGCATATGAAAACCTCGCTTATTGTGATATTACTCAGGATTGCCATTTCCACATTTTGTTAATAGTGGGAAAACAGGCATATTGGCTGCATGAGGGCTGGGCAAAGAAAGCTTTTAGTATTGCCACAGGTGAAATAAAAATAAAAACTGGAGCATAGATCAGTATTGCCAAAATACTCCTTGCTATCAAAATATAGATATATCCAACTTGCCATTCAAAACTAATTAAAAGAAGCTCAAGCAATCAAGGCTACTATTTTAGCCACTGGAGGCAAACATTAGAATCATGTGGATTTCCAGACAGTGAAGCTGACCTTTTAGATCAAGTGCAAACTTCCTAACTAAACACACAGTAGCTGAGCCCTACATTTCTTCTCTTGAAGGACATAATACCTAGACCCGTGCTGCATAGTGGTCTCAGTGGTAAACACTGAGAAGCTTTCCTTTCCCTGCATTCTGATAAGACCAGCTTTTCCTTCCATTGCTATGACAGTGGCTTGAATATGCATTTCTCTTATACTTTTCATTGGTCGGACTACCTACCAGATCCTCTTCCTTCATTTGTTCATTCTCTAGAATGGAAAAATATACAAAAATACAAACTATGTGGTGCTTGCTTTTGGCAAAGTACCAACCTCCTGTTTCAGGAGTAAGGAACCAAAAAACCTTTCCCTCCCTTTTGTATTATTTATTTATTTATTTATTATTTATTATTCAAATTTCTATACCGCCCTTCTCATTTCCGACTCAGGGCGGTGAACAGCCAAGATAAAAACATCTATACAAACATCACAGTTAAAAATAAAGTTAAAATAATTTATAAATTTGGCCCATAATTTAAAACTTGTCAATTAAAATCAATATTAAAATTTTAAAACTAACCCTAAAATCAAGACAGACTGGCTAACTGAAAAAAATAAGTTTTTAGGGCCCGACGAAAGATCCAAAGGTCAGAGATCACTCGTATCTCTGGGGGTAGATTGTTCCATAGGGTAGGTGCCACCACAGAGAAGGCTCTCCTCCTGGGGGTCGCCAGCTGGCATTGTCTGGCCGACGGCACCATGAGGAGGCCCTCTCTGTGGGAGCGAACCGGCCGGTGGGAGGCTATTGGTGGCAGAAGGCGGTCCCATAAGTACCCTGGCCCAAAGCCATGGAGCGCTTTGAAGGTGATCACCAACACCTTGAAGCGCACCCGGAAGTCCACCGGAAGCCAATGCAGCTCGCGCAGGAGAGGAGTCACATGGGAGCGCCCCATCGCTCCCATAATCCCCTGCGCAGCCGCATTCTGCACCAGTTGGAGCCTCCAGGTGTACCCCAAGGGGAGCCCCATGTAGAGAGCGTTACAATAGTCCAGACGAGAAGTGACGAGTGCTTGAGTGACCGTGCGTAGGGAGTCCCGGTCCAGAAAGGGGCGCAACTGGCATATCAGGCAAACCTGACAAAAAACACCCCTGGCCACGGCTGTCATATGCCCTTCTAAAGACAGCCGCGCATCCAGGAGGACACCCAAATTGCGGGCCCTCTCTGTGGGGGCCAATGATTCGCCCCCAATAACCAGCGATGCATCAGCTGGCTATACCGGGACGCCGGCAGCCACAGCCACTCGGTCTTGGAAGGGTTGAGTCGAAGCCTGTTTCTCCCCATCCAGACCCGCACGGCCTCCAGGCACTGGGACATCACTTCCAAGGCATCGTTGGGATGGTCTGGGGTGGAAATGTACAGCTGAGTATCATCAGCGTATTGATGGAACTCCACCCCAAAACCATGGATGATCTCACCCAGCGGCTTCACATAAATGTTGAACAGGAGGGGCGAGAGGACTGACCCTTGCGGCACCCCACAAACAAGGCGCCTTGGGGTCGACCGCTGCTCCCCTGTCAACACGGATTGCGACCAGTCAGAGAGATAGGAGGAGAACCACCGCAAAACGGTGCCCCCCACTCCCAGTCCCCCCAGCCGGCGCAACATGATACCATGGTCGATGATATCAAAAGCCGCTGAGAGGTCTAATAGGACCAGGATAGAGGAATAACCCCTATCCCGGGCCCTCCAGAGATCAGGTATTAACCAAACAGGGAGCGCTACATGTCTTTCACAGAGGGCGGAAAGCTCTGGGGAGACAGGAATCAGATAAGCTATGTGGGTTTTTTTTTTTTAAAAAAAAATCCTCAATCAATCAGAGTTGGAAGGGACCTTGGAGGTCTTCTAGTCCAACCCCCTTACTGAAACAGCCTATACCATTTCAGATAAGTGTTTGTCCAGTCTTTTCTTAAAACCTCCAGTGATGAATCTTTGAAGGCAAGCTGTTCCACTAGTTAATTGTTCTCACTGTTAGGAAGTGTCTCCTTAATTCCAAGTTGCTACTGTCCTTAGTTTCCATCCACTGTTTCTTGTCCTGCTCTCTGGTGCTTTGGAAAATAAGTTGACCCCTTTCTTTTTTGTGGCAGCCCCTCAAATACTGGAATACTGCTATCCTGTCTCCCCAGTCCTTCTTTTCTCTAGATTGGCCATAGCCAATTTCTGCAACCATATGTTTTAGTCTCCAGGCCTTTAATAATCTTAGTTGCTCGTTTGCATTTTTTCCAAAGTCTCAACATCATGTTTGTAATGTGGTGACCAAAACTGGATGTGTATTCCAGGTGTGGTCTTACTGAGGATTTATAAAGCAGTACTAATAATTCACATGACTTTGATTCTAAGCCTCGGTTTATAATATATATATAATTGCCCTATTACATGGAATTAGGCTAAACATACCATCAAACCAACTTTACTTTAATTATAGTCAATGATCAGCTCAATAAAAAGAAAAGAAACATGCAGAAACTGTTACCAAATCCAGGAAAGACAGTGTAAATGTCACATAAAACAAAAACCAGAGTAAAAGAGGTATGGAATAAACTATAGTAAAACAATATATAGCACAAGATAAAATAGAAAGGAAGAGCAAAGAGACTTCATAATCTCATCAAGATTAGAACATCATGCAACAGAGGAAGTCCCACTGGTATAGGTTAATATGGATGAGAGAATTACAAGTAACCCTTGACTTATAACCACAACTGGCACCATATCTGTTGCTGAACAAGGTAGTTGTTAAGTGAGTCATGCCTGCTTTTACAGCCTTTTTGCTATGGTTGCTAAGTGAATCACTGCAGTTGTTAAATGAATCATACATTTGTTAAGTGAAACTGGCTACCCTCATTGACTTGGCTTGTTGGAAACCATCCAGGAAGGTTGCAAATGGCGATGACTCCAGGACACTGCAACCATTGCAAATACATGCCAGTTACCAAGCTCCCAAAGTATGACTATGGGGATGCTATGTTGGTCATAAGTGTGAGGACCTGTCATAAGACACTTTTTAGTGCCATTGTAACTTCAAATGATCACCAAATAAATGGTTTTAAGTTAGAGACTACATGCAGTGAATTAAAGCATAGAAAATCTCCAATGAAAACAAAAGAATCAACCTGAGCTGTGGCACAAAGTCATCTACATGTGAGACATGCTGCATTTGTAGATCTAGTCATTTGTCAGACCAAGTCTCAGTCACCAAGTCTCAGTCACCACCATTCACAAATTGGTGGATGGCTTCCTGCCAGTTACGGCATGGCATGTGATATTCATAATCTTTGGAGAGTTTGTACAAATACATGATAGTGAACGTCTGTATTTTTATCCACTGTTTTAATTTTCTACTATCTTGAAATGGGTGGGTTGTAAGAGAAAAACTAAGGTAATCAATTGACCAAGTGCTGATAAACAACAAGCTTAATTCAAGAAAAGGATGTGTATCTTTCAGTAAGTAGCATATTCTTTTTTGCCCAACCTAGCCCCAATTAAATCCTCATTGGGGATGGATCGCATTTATCTTTTAGGAGGTTATGGCACTGCAAAATTTGAGAATCCCCAGTAGATGGTATCCAGGTTGCAAGGTCATAAATATTTGCTCCCCAGGGAACTCATTCAGAAGGACCTTCAGCTAAGAATTGTACAGTTCTGTCTGGGTCTGGTTCAGATAGATTTGTCAAGCAATAGCTTTACAAATCATCATGCATAAAGATATTAGATATATTAGATGCCTGGGTGAATGCTATGTGTGCAATGTGAAATTAACTTCATAGTTTTATGTGGTTTTTATGTGAGTTTAATTAACAAAAGATAATGCCTCAATTAAAAAAAATACTGAGTATTTAAGACCTCAGAGAGAAACATGTTCTCTCTGTCAGGAAATTTGATGGCATACATAAAAAATTCTTAAGTGTGTTCAGGAAAACAATAAGGTAATACTAAATAAAACATACTGGTATATGTAAGAGGATGCAACACAATTTCATGCAAGATTCTTGGCTAGTTTCCTTACCTTTTCATTGCCAACAAGGTTTTCTGTCAAACTCCTTTGTAAGACTGGTGCCTAAGCTATGCATAGGACACAGGCATGAAATTTAAAAAGAAGGACATGTTCTTCTGCAGTACAGCTATAAAGGCTTTCATTTTCCTGACTCAGTATAGAGACATGATGCTATATAGACTGATGCTATATTGCTCTGGCTAGAAAGAGGAAATAGCAATTCCTGCCTCTCACCAGGAAATTATTAATTAAAGGGGCAATAGCTAGAAGAAATTGAATAGGATTTAGCAATCCCTCATTGGCAGGCTTTTAAAAGAATAGGCATTCAGACTGAAAGCACTTGATAGACTGCATAAACTAATTACATTTATAAATATGATTTTTCTGTTAATATGAGCAAAGTCAAAACCAGTAATTGCAACAGAGACTAGTTTTAACAACTGTACTATGTCACAGGTAATACAATATACATTCAGAATTCTGATTGTTTTTGTTTTATCTTTGTTAATTTTAAGGCCTGAAGACAGTATTGAAATGAACATCTCCAGCTCCATAAAAAAATTACGTTCTGCTATTATTAAGACATTTCTGTTAAGATAATGTCATCTTTTATTAGCTGTTTTTTAAGCGATCAACGTTTTGTTTACTACACGTATTGTTTTAGAAGCGATTTTAGGATTATTCCTGAAGATTTCTAGAAAATAAAGACATTGTGTCTTGTGCTTGTATTCAAATAGAATAACTTTGAAATGTGACTTTTAGTCTATAGTCTTGTAACTGAGCAGTTACTAATAGCTTCTATCAAAATTTCTCCCAAGTTAAAAACATTAATGCTTCAAAAAGGAAAGACCAATGTTCTGAAAACATTTTCAGCATTCAAAATGTAATAAATTATCTTATTTTATTCCACTATATAAAAAGTAGCGTTTATGATTTCTATACATTATCCTTTAACTATCTCATGGATACAGGCATCAAAATCATTTTCTATGACTCAACTGTTCTCTATTTGCTTTCATTTTTCATCTCATTTTCCTTTTCTTTCAGAGTCCATTTTCATAACCGCCATTTGTACTTTGAGTGCTACATTTAGATAATTGCTGACATGGCAATGCCTATTTTTTCACATTTCAAAATGAGCTAAATCTGCCTCTGTTGCTACACTTGGAAGTATCCATTTCTTCCATGAAAGAATCTCTCCAAAGTAGGATTTTTTAAACTGAGCTTGATTCCTGGAACCATGAGGTTCTGCAAGAAAGAGTTCCATGTAAGGATACAGACCAAAACAAAAAAATAGAAAAACAAAACCCCAACTCCTAAAAAGGCCATTTGAGCGATCAGAGACATCCATAATAATTTTTAAGGAAAGGTAATCATATTTCAGTCATTGAACATTGATTGGTCTGGTTAGAACATTAGCCTTCCAAGTAATTGTGGAATTCAATTTTTAATTTTTTTGTACTTTGGAAAAATGCATGTACAATAAATAATTTGTTTTTACATTTATGTGTGCGGGTAGTTTCTGATACAGTAGGTGGAACATTCATTTTTGGAAATTTAAATTGCTATAACATATACATTTTCATAAAGGAATTAAACAAGCACATATTTTGTTTTATTGCCATTTTTCTATCATTCGAGCTCTACCTCTTGATCAGCGGTTCCAAGTATTAAACAAATCAAAACATTTTTCAGCTTGAAAAGAGATTGAAAAACTTTGCTCCAGAATCTTTCTCTGAGCCCCAGAGCTCCTAAATTCTTCCAATCTTGGTCCACTTATTCATTTAGAATAACCAAAGTGTGCCTCTGCCAGTGTATTCCTGTATTGCCTCTTTCTTGCTATTTGTTTATTGGCATGTACGCTGAATTATTGTCTTTAACTCTCTGCCAAAATTAAATACTATGAAAGATTTCCAGAAGAATAATACTTTAATGCAGAGGCAAGGATTGCACTTTTACCACACTATTAATATTTTGTTAGAATTTGGCATTAAATATGGATTAATGCCAAATTATATACCTGTTAATTTGAGAAAAAATGAATTTCAACAACTGTAGAATCAGGCTAAAATTGACAGTGAAGGGGGTCTGAATATTTTCTGAATGCACACACACACACACACTTTGAGAAATGCACTTTAAAAACTTATTTGCTTCATTATTTGATCCAAAAGATTTATTCATTCACACTACCAGTTCAATTACAACCTTCAGGAAGACATTAGGAATGATGGTGTCACAGAAAAATACATTTTGAGCATGGATTTGACTATTTAAAATGCAGTGACAACCACCATCACCACAACTTGATTCCACAGATTCTAACATGGTGATCCAATTAAAATAGTGTTCTAGTTAATTTTCAGTATTTAATCATCATGGTTCACTTTTGAAAAACTATATAGTTGATTACAATCCAGAAAAAGTATCAGTATATATTGGTGGATCATCTTTCAAAATTTGCTGCTATTTCAGTTTATGCAATTTCTTCACTAGCTACTATCTAATCAATACTGTGGTTTTATAATGTGGTCAGGTCCCTCCAGTGATGATAATTAATTAAGAAATATAACCTTTTTAGAGTAACTTTACCTAGCCTAATCCGATTTTCTTTCTTGTAGATCTGGACCCACTCATTCTGATACTCTCTGCCATTTTAATTGTGATTATCTTGCTTTTGGCTTTCATCACCCTGATGTCTAACCGCAGGTACAGCTCTGTCATATTGAGAAGCCAGTGTTCTTCTCCCGTTGAAATCAATCAAATGAATATTTTCCTTCTTTATTCCAGAGTTATGGATTGAGGCAATATAAGAGCATTTCTAGACTTAGCTGTAGTACAGATACCCTTGACTAATGACCACAATTAAGCCCAAAACTTTGGTTGCTAAGCAAGGCAGTTGTTAAGTGAGTTTTGCCCTATTTTATGACCATCTTTGCCATAGTTCTTAAGTGAACCACTACAGTTGTTAAGTGAATTACACAGTCATTAAGTGAATCCAGTTTCCCCAATGACTTTGCTTGTTGGAAGCTACTGGGAAGGTTGTAAATGGTGATCACACGACCCCAGAACAGTGCAACTGTCTTAAATACATGTCAGTTACCAAGTGCCCATATTTTTATCACATGATCATGGGGATGCTACAATGGTCTTAAGTGTGAAAAATGGTCATTTTTTTCCCAGTATCATTGTAACTTCGAATGGTCACTAAATGACTGGTTGTATGTCGTAGACTACCTACAGTATACTAAGCATGAAGGGTGGGGAGAAGTGCTTTCATATTTGTTTTAAATAGTGTTCTTCTGTCCTACTATTTTTCACCAGATTTTTGAAAAAGAAGATCTGGCCTGTCATACCGTCCCCTGAGCATGAATTCAAAGATCTTTTCACCATCTACAAAGGCAACTTCCAGGTATTGTTCTGCCTGTCCTTCCTAATCTATTTTCTCCTAGTCTCATTAAAGCAAAGATCACTATAGTGGTGTTCTTAAGAGCACTCAAGTTACATTCTTAATTCTAAATGAAGGAACAATTGGTGGCCAAACACTTTCAATCAGAGGGTATCAAAAAGGACAATTAGGAATAAGCATTTAAAAGAATTTAAATGGGGCAAGGAATTTGGAAATTTAAGCACTAGAATTGATCCATATGGCATTAGGATGCTATGAAAAATCCTCCAACATGTAGAGAGCAATATCTTGTCCATTTTGTTGACTCTGATGAAAAACTACATTAAAATATATGTTCATGTGCATGCATTTGTATGCCAGCGCATTGGAGTGAAACTGTACACTCATAAAATATATTCCCTTTGTATGGGAATCTGAAAAATGACAAGGACTAACAATAGTTTTAAAACACATTTCTTCTAATGTCCCATTATCCAAATTGGGATCCAGATTCACTAGAAAACAAAGACCATGTCTGAAAAATAAAGCCCATTAAAGCATGTGCAAATATTTGATTAATATACAGAATAAAAATAGTCTGGACCAATTGGTATGTTTCCCAATAGTGCCACGCTCTCTGAAAAGAATTGTAAATCTGAAGCATTTGAAACTTTTCAGCAATAATTGACAACTTATTCGATAAGCCATTAATGACCTATTAGAACAGACAAGAGTACATAAAAGACAGTGAAAGCTATTTAAAATGAGGTCTATTAACAATAGGCATAGGGGGAAGGCATTACATATTTTGATCCTGGCCACCTGTTTGACATGCCTGTTTGTGGGGCCAAAGAATCCTAATGAAAAATAAATATTGGCACCCTATAGGAAAATGAAGGTGGGGCTTAGGAGCTCTGTTGAATGTTCAGGATTCAACATATTCTCGTTATTGGCAGCTGTACAAAGCTAGCTTGATATAAAATGTTTGGGAACGTGTATGCTTATGCAATAAAGTGAAAATCCAAAGAAATTCATATAATGGGATACAGAAAAAGGAAATACAAAGACACTGGCGAAAAAAATTAATTCAAAAGAGGGAGAGAAGGGAATGTTTCTCATCCTATTCCTTGACATAGACATTTCCCTTTTTTGCAGTTGTGGTTGGGCCATCAGAGCACTTACCCGTGGTGGAGCCAGAATACCCACTATCTGGAGGAGCAGCCATTTTTGGTGGAATTATTATCCGAATGTGATACTCACAAAGTGGACAACCCTCCTCTTCCTCCTCCCCTTCCCCCCAAGCGCTGCTCTGTAGTGGAGCTCCCTTATGCTCCAGAACTGTCCCTGGATGATTACCTAGTACTGGATAAAAATGTGATGCCGTGCTGCTTAGGAGGAAACGGCTCCCCATTTTTGCTGGGTAGGCACAGCAGCGAGGATTCAGACCTGGTGCTGGCTGAAGAAGCAAGAATTACAGAGCCCAGCCAAGCTTCTTCTAGCTTTGAGTACACTGTGTTTGATCCCAGTTCCGAAAGTCTTTCTCCACAAGGGCATCAGGCAGAACTTCAGTTCAAAAGCAGCTACCAGATGGTCTCCGACTCAGGGATCTCTGCTGACTACAGCCTGGTGGACTCCACTGCTGGCCCCACCAGTCTTTACACCAACCTCTGTGATAGGGCACCACCACCGCCGCCACCACCTTTTCTGCCTACCTACATTGCATGTTCATAGCTTTGACAAGCATGGAACCCGTCGAAAACCAGAAAAACTGAAGCAGAAAAGGTACTAGCCCAGCTGTCCCGTACCATGTTTGCTCTTCCCAGGAGAAAAAGCTGCAGTAGTGGGAAAGCCATGGATCACCATAACAGCTCTGGTTGGTCAAGCTGCTTCTATAGGAGGAAAAGTGGTTTACAAAAGGGATGGGAAAGATTGGATAAAAGGCAGGCAGCATAATTGCCTTCATGATTATGCACTGAAACTATTGGCATTACTTTTGACCACGACCTTGTGCTCATACAAACAAACCTATGAAATTGTTAAGAAACATTTGCGGGTGGGAGTGGCATAGGGTAGCAGCTTTCCAGCCAGCTGTAACTAACAGCCCCAATACTCCCTATCGAGATTGGATGGCATTCTCTGTATGTCATCTCAAAGAGTAAGGAGAGGAATGAACAGTTTTCTTTGGTTCTGTCTTTGCCTAAGTTCTTGGGTGAGACTAATTATTATTATTTTTTTTAAATGAAAAATCTATTTTCATGATCTTTTATAAAAACAAATGTTTTAAATATACGAACTGGGCCTGGGTCAGGAGATTGCAGGATTTTTTCGAGCACCAGGAAAGGAGCAAAATTCAGGGACTGGAGCAAGGATTCTTACAAATTCAGGATGTCTGGAGTCTCAGTTCAACTGCAATTCACTCAATGGCTTTTGCTTCCCCATCTACAAAAACTGGCTAAAATGCTAAGGAAATATCTGATAGACAAGATGACCCAATTATCAGATTTTTGGAGCACTGCTTTGGTATTCCACCAGCTGTTTACTGTCACTGTGCATGGATTGTAAAGAAAATTACTGTTATTTGTCCTCTTAAGGATGACTTGTGATTCTCATGCTCCTCTAGGCAAGTCCCTTGTGTTGAGTTCCTTCAAAATCAGCACACTGGATTGAAATCACAGGTGTTTCAGACCAAGACTTTAATTTAAATGTCGTTGACATGCCTACATAGTATTTTTTGTAATTATTATAGTAATTTAAAGTGGAAATGTGTGTATGTTTAACTTAGATCTTTAAAAATAAATAAAGGTCCTTGTATTCTAACTCACTTGAGAGAATTGAAAGAGGATACTACTTTATCATCCTACATTTGTTACAGTGCTTTCTCATTCCTTCTCCCAGCCCTTATTACTTTATATGGTTAAATTTGATTTGCATCACATAGCTGATGAACATGTGAGGCTTTCTTCTGCCTTGTGAATCAGTGTATAGATCAGCACTGTATCAGACCCTCAGAGCAGTGGTGAAATCCAAATTTTTTTACTACCGGTTCTGTGGGCATGGCTTGGTGGGCATAGTGCGGCTTGGGCGTGCCGTCGTGGGCGTGGCAGGGGAAAATACTGCAAAATCCCCATTCCCTCCCCACTCCTGGGGGAAAAATATTGCAAAATCTCCATTCCCACCCCACTCTGGGGCCAGCCAGAGGTGGTATTTGCCAGTTCTCCAAACTACTCAAAATTTCTGCTACCGGTTCTCCAGAACCTGTCAGAACCTGCTGGATTTCACCCCTGCCTCAGAGCAGCAATCCAGGCTGCAGGATTAAAAGAAAAAGAGGAAAATTTTGTTTGAGTCAAGTCCCACCCCAGGTGATTTTGTGGGCAGAACAATACAATTTCTTGGTAATGGTACAGAAGTGATTCTTTCCAAGGTGCTTTTTTGATTTCCCAAACATATCTACAGTCCAAAGATTTGGGCAATTTTATCTGATGGAATACTTCCATTTATGGCTCTGACCAGTCAGGAACAGACCTTTGATCTGCATTGATTGTGGGCTACTTAGTAATGGCTTAGTGATGTGTGAACTTAGTCATTTTGTTTGATAAACTATAGTTTATAGTTCAAGGTATTGGGCAAACCCAGACACTAAATAAGCCACAGTTTAAGGTGATAGTTGAAACAGATGACTGTGGTTAAGACTTCTTTAGATACAGTAGACAGGCCATCTTTTCAGCTGTGAGAGTCAAATCCATTACCAGCTGAGAACCATACTGAGGGACATACAAAGCAATAGCACTTACACGTATATTCCATTTTAAAGTGCTTTACAGCCCTCTCAAAGCAGCTTACAAAGTCTGCATATTGCTCCCAACAAGCTGGATCCCCATTTTACCGACCGCGGAAGGATGGCTGACAATCAGAATTGAACTCCTGGCAGTGAGCAGTGAGTTAGCCTGCAATATACATTCTAACCACTGTGCCACCACAAAAAATACAAAGGATGGCACATATACACATCCTTAGTCAGGTGGTCTCAGTTCATAAGAAGTCTTTGCTGGGGAATCACAGAGGGACTGGCAATTTCTATGCCACGATACAGAGGTCACACAGCCTATTTGCTGCAGGCTGTCCACCCAGAGGACAAAATTGCAAAATCTGCAGCCCCTTAGTCACAGGAAATCCCTTATATCATGGGCATAAGCCCAGATTTCTTCCAAGCAAAAAAATAATATGCAAATGGGGTGGGGGAATTAAATCTTCCCTGCCAGTACAGGAAGTGGAGGATTTTATCTTCAAGGTGCCATATCCATCTTCCTTAACAAAGCCCCTTGATCAAAACCCTACTTCTGTACATTCTGAACTACCACTTCCACCATCCCCAGCCAATGTAGCCAATTAAATAATTGGCTAAATAATTATTTAATATTTATTTAATAATTATTTATTTAGCAAATTCATGTAGCTGCCCATCTCACCCAAGTGACACTGGGAAGCATACAAAACTTAAATAAATCAATAAATATTTTAAAATAAGCATAATGTCAGACCTGATTAATAGATTAACAGAGTTGGAAGGGACCTTGTAGATCATTTAGTCCACCCCCCCCAGCAGGAGAAAACCATTTCTGACAAATGGCAGTGCAATCTCTTCTTGAAAGCTCCAGTGATGAAGCTCCCACAACTTCTGAAGGCAAGCCCGTTCCATTGGTTGATTGTAAGAAAATTTCTCGTTATTTCTAGGTTGAATCTCTTCTTGTTTAGTTTCCATCCATTATTCCTTGTCTGGCCTTCAGGTGCCTTGGAAAACAGGTTGACCCCCTCCTCTCTGTGGCAGCCCCTCAAATATTGGAACACTGCTATCATGTCTCCCCTGGTCCTTCTCTTCACTAGACTAGCCATGCCCAGTTCCTGTAACTGTTCTTCATATGTTTTAGTCTCCAGTCCCCTAATCATCCTGGTTGCTCTCCTCTCCTCTGCACTGCACTGACCTGACCCAGTCTGGTCCCTTAGGAGAAAAAGACCTTCGGCTCCATTTGGGTGAAGTGAAAGATTATTTTCCTAAAGGCTGCTGGCTGCAGTAAAGTCAGGCTAGAATTAAATTTCCCACACAAAAAAGTTGCAAAGATTTCCCCTCATATGAAGAGCTGCAAAAGTGTTTTGAGACACGCTAGGATGTTTGGGAGGGTGTGTGGCCTTGAGTGCTGGCACAAACTGGTTCCCCACTTCCCTGGTCTTTGTCAAGCTGTCATCCCCCTCCCTACTTCTCATCACATCCCCATACATGTTTATTGCCCATTTGTTCTCCCTGTGCCCCCTCCCATCTAGCCTTTGAATGGCAGGATGCCAACAAGATACCAAGCCAAAATTGGCAGACCTGACACATTATTAAAAATATAAGAACAATCCATATTTAAAAATATACATTACCTGGCATGAGAGTAGATATGGAGCCATCTTAAAATGTCACCAGTCCACTGGGAGACATACACACACACACACACCCCACTATTGACATAGCCGAGTCTCATGCTGGCTGGAGAATTCTGGGAGTCGAACTCCACACAACATTACTCTATTAGAATGTTAAGATCAATTCCATCCCCATTTTATCTCCCCAAATAACCTCCACAGCCTTGCTAGTACCGTCAAATCTGCTGGAACTCAGTGAAAGCAACTGGCACGTTTTGATTTCACAGGTTTTCATTCAATCTTGTAAAAAGCACACAGGAAGGCAAGAGTAGGCAGTCTCTGAAGACTTCAGCTTCTGATCTTACACTCACAAACTGTTACATCTAACCTCACACCCTTTGAACAGCACACTCGAGTCCAGGGCTTGGCCTTGTTTAATGGTAATGATAGTTTCTATCAATGTAACAGAAGCCTCTTTGCAGCCACTATCAGGGATGCAGCTTTTCAGCTCTGCTGGCTGATATTGGATGACAGCCAAGACATGACTTTCAGCCTAGAACTTGGGGAGGTCTTTTACAAGGCGGGGATCATGGAAGGGGTAAAACACTGTGGTGACTACACATGGGCCTTTGGATATAATATCCAGTCTTTGCAAGTCCATTCTGCTCGTCTGTCTCAGGTCTAGCCTTAGGGCAAAGACACTGCCTTCCACAGCTAGGCCACGGATTCTCTGGGCCTGAATTGAGAACAAGTGGTACCCAGTCCTGGAACCTGTCTGCCCTTTATCTAGTACAGGCAGAAGGCTATCCCACCACATATTCTTGTGGATAAACTGAGAATTTTAGGTGCCAAACATACCCCAAATTTGGGTTCAGCTTATTCAAGGATGCACTTGTATTTTTATCAATCAAATTTAGGCATGGTGACTGGGGTGGTTTACAGATGGCAATTATAAATTTAATTACTTTTTAAAAGTACCAATATTCCCATACTCATGTATTAGCCACTCTGCAGATAAGCTGACTCCTGTTTTTAATCAAAATACCATGAGAAATGCAGGGCAGTTAACTGCAGTGGCATATTGTTCATGGTATTTTGGTTAAAAATCCAAGACTCAGCTTATCCACAGATGGTCTTATCCATAAGTACAAATGGTAATTTTAGATGGGGACTGTTATAGTAATGCCATTCCTCCAAGGCAGGGTTCCTCAAAGTGAGCAATATCAACTCCAAAAGGTCCATGGAACTATCTTAAGGGTCTATTACTTGTAGTACTATTGAAGTAATAATACTGCATTTATTATTTTCATATAATTGGGGATCAATGAATCATCTGAAAGGGACTGAAGAGTTTGGAGAGTCTTGCTCTAGGAGTCATATGCATGACGACAAATGCTTGCCCCATTTCTTAAAGTAATCTCTGCCCGTCTTTTTCCTCTTTACTTCAAACGTAATGTCATGATCCCGACTAATGAACCCAAGCAAATAAGAATTCTGAGGCTAAGGTCTTCCTCTAAGAACTTCTTTATTGGGTACATCATATTGGCACAATCAAATGGAAAACCAACTCTAAATGTTTCCCCGCAGTTTCAGTATAATAGGAAATAACTCCCTCCCCCAAAAGTCACAAGTTACGTTGGCCAATTAGGTTAATTGGTGGGCTCTCCAGGCACTCCCCCCTGTCTCTATTCACCACCTGTAGAGATGACCTTTTTTTCCATGAGAAAGTGTTTTGTCTAACAACGTATTTCATCCTCCTTCCCCCTTCCCACTCTGTGAGGCAATTGAGGAATAGAGAAATGACTTTTGCCAGGTTCCATTCAAAATTGACACTTAGTTTTCTATCTTGGGCCAGCTCAAGTGGTGCTGCCTGGCTTGATTGTTATGTCCCATCTCACTGCAGGCAGTCCCCTCCACTCCCATTGGCTAATGGAAGATCCTTGCCCATCTAGTCATTGTCTTTCACTGCCATTTTTTTCACAAGTTCACCAGAACAGCAGCAAAAGCTGCATTTTAAGTATGTGTGTGTGGAAAATTGTGGCATTAAAAGTATTTTTACAAGTTCACTAATAGAGTAATGAAAGGGATGGCCTTTTTATTGATTCAGTGGAGATAAGCAGGAAAATCCACTGGTCAGGGCCTATGTAAACATAATGCACAATGAATATCAGGCCATCACTTTAGCCAAAGCAAAGACTGGGTCTGAAATCTGAAAAGGGATTCCTTAATCTGGTTTCATTTCCAGCCAGTTTGTAAATAGCAGCTGAAGACCTAAGTGCCGAAAAGCCCTTTTGACACTCTCCAAGTAGACATTTTAGAAGGCTTCTCCTACATAGCTTCCTGAGAGAACTTAGGACAATTACTGTGCAGAGTATACTTTATTATGGGACCCCCTCCTTTCTTCCAAAGGCTAACAAATCCATATCAATGAGAAGAAACTGGAGCAGCCCAAACCACCACCCCTTCCAGAGGAATCAGTGAAGAGAATACTGTAACTGACCATATAGCATACAAGCTACCTCCAACTTTGTGCAACACTAAAATTGATTAAATTTCTTTTAATTGTCAACTTGCCAATTCAGTCTAAATGAAAAACCCAAACTTTGATTAAAAAAAAAATACATTCAGTATTAATGGAAGGTGTGTTTGCTGTAGATCAAAGGATTGTCCAGAAGTCTTTAAATCTGGGAGCTAGGCAGAGTAACATCAACTTGTGGTATCAAAGAATCAGAAGGCCTATTTTCAGAAACTGTTTCATTCTCAGTTTCATTTTTGCATGGCAATAGAGAGATTGTCATGCTACCTTGTGCATCAAATTTCACTATCCATTCTTGATCCTTTGTTCCTGGCTGGAAGAGTTGTGCCCTAATCAGTCTGGTTAAACTTTGGTTATCTAAACCACCATCTTTCCCAGTGTCTGGATGCAGCCACAGTTTTGCTGGGAAGTAGCGTTCAATGGCTGAGAAATGTTCTGCTTCTTCCCCAGCTTCTCCCAGAAACCTCATGGAAACAATCAGTTGGCAACCCACAGACAAAGGACTACGTTTCTGAGTGAAATGATTAGATGTGTCCAGCAACAGGGCTACAAACTGGGCTGCTGTACAGGCACTGGAACAATTGTTCAGGTATTCTTCCAAACCATCCAGTGCAATCATGGAGGGGCTATTAGGTAAGGTTTGGTGCAGGGAGGCCAACAGTTGAAGTAGCTCCTGGAAGGAAGATGGGTACAGGAAATGGATTTTCTTGAGACAAAAAAAGCCAACAACACATTAGTGACCAAGGGTGTTAGACACAAAGTCATGACAGATATCAAGATAGCCTTTGTAAAAACACTTTCCCTAAATCATGGCAGATACTGAAAAGCTGAAACCCACAATTTACATCTTGCAATAAATACCCAGCACTAGACTAGAGTCACTAATGTTGAAACCCATCCCCATAGCAGGCTAATGACAGAAAATGTGCATTTATACCTACAGATGTTGAACATCATTCTATATATTAATCATTTGAGACCCATGGGCCCATTTAAGTCTATCAATATTTTTCTGAAATTATTTTCCTTCCCAATAATATTCTTCCAAATTTTCTGCAATGTGATTAATCAATATAGAGAAAATATGTTGGCTTTCTGGAGTCCCAGAGAATGAAGCTAAATACCCCAAAATTCCGGTCATATCTCTCACCCCACGACTAAAGTCATAGGAAATTTTGAAGGAGAAAAAGTTGCTACCTGCTAAATGTAAAATAACAACCCAGTAAATTCCCACCAATTCATACAGATACATTGTTTATCTTGCATACTGCAGGAACAACCTTTCCAGTTTCCACACGGGCTGAGAACTGCAAAGCCTACCCTCGTTTCATTCACACCTGGATTGCTCCTCCTCCAGCTGCTTTCCCGCCCGGAAGCCGCTCCAGGGGCCGCGGTGCCAAAAACAACACGCGAGCCGAGGAGACAATGGAAGCACCCGCTAGTGCTGCGCGGAACAACAGTGCTGAACGACCCGAACGGGGAGGACCGAGAAGCAACAGCGGCCGCGGCCGAGGCACAACCGGTACTGCTCCCGCTCCCACCATCTCCATCTCCAGCAACGCGGCCGACATAGCCAGAGCACAACCCTAATTAGAAGCTCGGCCGCACAGCAACCAATCTAAAGCCTGCATACGGTGAATCGGCCAATGATTAATGGCGCCAATGTAGCCGTATTCAGGAGGCACACAAAGTCAACAATTTAAGCCAATCAGAAACGACAGTCACCGAAAGGCGGCCAATCCATGTATACGTTTTTAGAACTTTCTGACACGTGGATTGGAACGTGACGCCGAGAAAGACATTCCTGAGGATGGGCGCTGCTTGGTTCTCGCGACTTCAGCGTAGGAACGAGTGCCGATTTCGGGATGCATTTTTTTGAAATAAAACTACAAGCTCCTTGCCTTTTGCTTTTTATCGATTTATTTCCTTGGACACTTAATTAGTTTCTTCTTTAGCGCTGTTCTAAGAACTGTTACCGAAAATTACGGAGGAAGCACGTGCAGGAAAGTTTGGTAACTTTCTCTTCTTTTATAATACGTGGCTGCCTGAGATACTTTCCCGTGGGCTGCCAAGAGAATAGCAGATTCACAGTGGGGAAAAATGCAGCTGCTCCTCAGAAACGCCTGCGTTTGGCCAGATATTTAAGCAGAAACATGAACAACATGGGCTATACAAGGGATTCTGGTACAATAGTGCGGTGGAGTCCGCACTACATGCACACGTAATAGGAAGGAGACCACAGTGGTGGTAGTATTGTGTGTCTCAATACCTGTGGTACTATTAATACCATGGCTTTTCAGGGCATCTGGTTGGTCATGGTAGAAATACTACTTGATCCAGCAGGTGTTTCTTTTAGTGTTCATGGTGGTGGTAGAATTGTTCAATTTACACGACTATAACCTGCATCCTAAGCCTTTTGATGCATTTGGGGAACAAAAAAGAGTATCTCCAGCAATCTGTGGACAAGGGAGCCATTCTTATTTGTTCTGTGATTCCTGTCACATCAAATCCGTAAGCATTCAGTCACCTTATTGGGGAGATGGGCAGTGTGTAAATTTAATAAAATAAATCTCACATCCCTAATGAACCCTTTTAAGTATGGCAAGCCTTCAGGCTTGTTGGGGAATCTCCCTTGACAATGTGTTTATCAATAACTACTTTTAATTGAATATACTTTGGGTAAATTTTAGCCTTGCTTATTCTAAACCTTAGGGGATGAATTGAGAAATCTTTTCATATTTCTCAAAAAAAATTAAAATATGAGGGAACTGAAATTTGCTCCATTAGTTATTTTAGTCTTAAAATATTTCTAGTGATTTGGTATACAAAGTTATCATTTTCTGTATAAGGTAGGCCTGCATAACAAACAGTCTGTGGCCACAAAGCAGCCTTGTACCACCTGCCAGTGAGTTTTGAAAAACAACCAATCTGCTGCCACCAAACATCACCATCACTAGTAAGGATTTATCAATGCTTAGGTTCTGGCAGCCCCTTCTGCTTCAAAAAACATGCTGCTGAGCATCTCCAACATCTCCTAACCGCATGGAGGCTCTTGCTGCTAGTCAGCAAACCTATTCCTTTGTGGCTCACAATTATTTTTAAAATGTCAATCTACCCTTTTGCCCTCTGTGAGGTGTGTAGACATGATAGAAGGTGTAATAAATAGCACATCTCAGTATATCCTACCATTATACTTATGAGCACAGGACTTTTACACACCACTAGTCAAGTAGGGATTTTTTTAAAAGAACAATCTATGGATGAGGAAATTTATCTTTCCTAACAAAAGCAAGTGAACTTTTTAGTGCTACATTGGTTAGCTGCTTCTTATGAAGTTTTGAAGGCGGATCATTTATTCTACAGGCATTATTTTCTTAATTTGGGGTGAACCCTATATTTTTACTTCAGTTCCCTGAGTTAACCATCCGTATCTAGTTTACTTAGTGCTTGCTGTTAACCATTATCTGCTGCCTCTTCCACTCACTCTTTTAAATCCCATTTCCTGTAAGAAGACAGCTAGTTGAGATTGAGAAATGCTATGATCCCACCTCATGGAAAACATGAAAAAAACAACAATTTCTTGGTTACCTTCTTTTTTTTTTATTTAAAAAGTTTTACAAATACATTTTCTCCCCAATTTCCCCCCCAAACCCCCCATACCCTCCCTAGCCCTCCCCTTTTCCCCCCTGGACTTCCATAATATAAAATCCTAATTGAAAAATACATTTTATAAAACTTAAATCCCTCCATCCCCTATATACTATTTATACCTTCATAAAACTCTATTAATTTGTCCCTACATAATACATTCATTCAGCTAAAAGCTATCTGATATTTCTTAGTTTGATATTTATTCTGCACATAATCTATCCACTTTTTCCACTCCCATACATAAATCTCTTGAATTCGGTCTTTTAAATATGCTGAAATCTTCGCCATCTCCGCAAAACTAGCCATCTTCAAAGTCCATTCTTCAATAGTGGGCATAGCTTCATTTTTCCAATATTGACCTATCAGTAATCTCGCTGCTGTCACCATATACAATATCAACTTTGTTTCGCCCAATGTAAAACCCTTAACTATACCCAATAAAAACAATTGTGGAGAAAACAAGTTTTTTCTTCAAAACATTTTGCATAACCCACCAAATTTTTATCCAAAAAGCCTTCACTTTCTTACAAGTCCACCACATATGGTAATATGTGGCATCTAAGCAATCACATCTCCAGCATTTTGGTTGAACATTAGGATACATACACGATAACTTCTTAGGATCTAAGTGCCACCTATAAAACATTTTATAAAAATTTTCCCTCAAATTCTGTGACTGTGTGAATTTAACATTCTGGACCCATATTTTTTCCCACGTTTCCAACATCACTGGTTCTGCGAAATTTTGTGCCCACTTTTATCATACAATCTTTAACCAATTCATTTTCCGAGTCCCTTTCTAGCAAAACATTATAAACCCTCTTAATATGCATTGGACCTTTCTCTTTTATATGTCTAACCAATTCTTCTTCATGCATCATTATACCAGTTTTTTGATCTTCTTTCCATCTCAGTTGAAGTTGATTATACTGTAACCAAGTTAAGTTAATCCCTTCTTCCAACAGTATTTCTAATGTCTTTAATTGCAATCTGCCCCCATCCATATTAAGAACTTCTTTGTATAAACCCCCCCCGAGTGACATTATATTTGTATTCCACATGATATGACCAAGATCCAGCCATAACGGTATTTTGTAATCCCATTTAAATCGGTGCTTCTTCCAAACTCTCATCAAATAATTCCTAAGTATGTGGCTTTTGAATACTTTATCCACTTTGTTCTCATAAAATAAATATGCATGCCAACCAAATTCAAGATCGTGACTTTCTATATTCAATATTCCAGTCTTTATCCTTCCAAACTAGTCACTTGCTTGCGTCAAAGCTGCTGCTTCATAATACAATTGTAGATTTGGAAGTTTAAGGCCTCCCCTTTCTGGAGCATCTTGCATTATTTTCAGTTTGACTCTCGGCTTTTTCTCATTCCAAACAAACTTATTCAATACATTTTGCCATTCTCTCAATTGCTTATCACTTTTAAGCACAGGAATCATTTGAAACAAAAAAAGGAATCTAGGCAAAACGTTCATCTTAACTGCTGCTATTCTTCCAAGTAGCGACAGCTGCAGTTTTTTCCAGGTCTCCATATCCTTTTGTACCTCTTGCCACAACACCTCATAATTATTTTGAAATAATTTTGAATTTGAATCTGCAACTTGAACTCCTAAATATTTAACCTTTTATACTATTTCAAAGCCTGCCTTGCTTTCAAGTTCCTGCTTCCGATCTTGTATCATATTTTTAACAATCATCTTAGTCTTTTTCTGGTTCAACCTAAATCCTGATATCATACCATATTCGTTTATAATGTCTTTCATCTGGATTATTGATTTCATCGGCTGTGTTAGGGTAACAACCAGATCATCTGCAAATGCCCTGGTCCTGTAATCCTCATGCCTGATAGCTATGCCATGTTATAAGTTTGAGTCCCGTATTGTATTCAACAAGACTTCTAATGTTAAAATAAATAACAATGGGGATAGCGGACAACCTTGTCTTGTTCCTTTTTCAATACTAAAATTTGTAGTCAGACTTCCATTAATAATAATTTGTGCCGTTTGCTGTTGATAGATAGCTGAAACCGCCTGTATAAACTGATCCCCAAAGTCCATTTTTCTCAAAGTCTTTAATAGAAAGTTCCAATCCACTCTATCAAAGTCCTTCTCTGCATCCAAAAACACCAGCACTGCAGATATCTGTTTATTCTTCTCAAGATAGTCCAATAAATTTATTATTTGCCTTACATTATCTTTCATGTATCTGCCTTCTATAAATCCTGCTTGGTCATGATGAATCACCTCCTGAATAACTGGCATTAATCTGTTGGCTAATACTTTTGCAAAAATTTTATAATCATTGTTCAGAAGAGATGTTGGTCTATAATTCTCAGGTTTTTAAAGACCTACTTGCTCTTTTGGTATCAATGAGATATAGGCTGATTTCCATGAAGGAGGTATTTTACCCCCTTGTTGTATACTACAAAATAAGTCTTTAAGATGTTCAATCATTTCTGCTTGTAAAGTTTTATAGTACACCGCAGTTAAGCCATCTGTCCCTGGCGCTTTGGCTGTTTTCAATTGTTTAATTGCGACAATAATCTCCTCAGCTGTAATTAATTGACTCTTTCTTTCCTTTTGATCACTAAAAATTTTTATAACTCTTTTTTCTTCTAAGTATTTATCTATAAATCCAGTCTTTATTTCATCTTTAGCATATAATTTAGTATAATAATCTAAAAAAGCTTCTTTAATCAGTTTTTGTTGAAAAATTTCCTTCCCTCCAATGTCAATACTACCAATAACCCGTGTACTCTGACGCTTCAATGTGTAGGCCAACCATCTGCCCGGTTTATTAGCGTTACAAAATGTATTATGTTTCACAAATTGTAAATTAGTTGCTGTTTGCTCCGCCATAAGCATATGAAATTGATCTTTCAAAAGTTTAATAGCTCCTCGTGTTCTTTCATCTGTTGGGTTCTTTATAAGTAGCTGCTCTTTCTTCTTTATCTCTGCTTCCATTTCCAGTCTTCTCTTTTGTCGGTTTAATCTATGTTTAGAATTCATATGAATAAGTACCCCCCTCATATATGCCTTACTCGCATCCCACACGATTTCAATAGGGGTACCCTTATTCAAATTCATTTCAAAAAATTCTTTCATTTGCTTTTTAAGTTCATTTACATTTTTTTCGTATCTAAACAAATTTTCATTTACTCTCCATGATCTTCTCTCAATCGTTCCCATTTCAATTTCTATCCATACCGGGCTATGGTCAGTTAGAGTCCTTGGAAAAATCTTTGGTTTTTTTTTGTTTTTGCAAGTAAGTCAGATGATAATAAAATAAAATCAATCCTAGAGAAGGATCTGTGTCTGTCTGAAAAAAAGGTAAAGTCCAAGTCT